CTTGTACAACTTGATCGCTTCACTTCCGCCCAGTGAGATCTCAGTTTGCTCGATGTCAGAAAAAGACGTTTCTGTTGAGGCCGGCAGGCGGCCGGGGAAGCGCCGATGCGTCCCAAAGAAAAATGAGGAAATACTGAAGAAAAATACCAACCATTCTGCTGTGTTTCCTTTGGCTGGATGGAGGAGGATAAATCTGAGGCTTTGTGGTGGGAGACGTTGGGGAGGTGACGAGATCCGCATGTTCTCACACAGCTACAGATCCACGTAATGGTGAACCAGCAAGTGTTTAAAGTCTGTAAGACTCAACAGTCACTCACCTGCGTTCTCTAGAAACACGTCGTCAGCTGTTATTTACACCCAAACATACGAAAAAAACACTTTGTTATTTCTGTAGTGAGCATCTTTTTCTAAGGACATAAACGAGAAACATAAAACAATGTACTACTTTTCTAAAGTATTATTTTAGTCTTTTCTACACGGTGATCTTCCGTCTCCTCGTTGCAGCCTGAACTTTCCCGGTTGATTCTTTACTCACAAGATTTCTGAAAATATTACGTTTAAATATGCAAATGAGGCGTTTAGTCTCCAGACAAAGAATGTTTTCTTTCCACGGGAAGCAGAGAAATCTTTCACAGGACGTTATGTAACCTCAGATCCTCACAAAGACGCCGTGTGGCGTTCAAGGTCCTCGCTGCAGAAACTACAGAATTACTGCAGTAATAACAGGAAGCCGACGTTATTATGACACATTACCCGATGGGCAGGTCCCGCCCCCACGCTCCATTGCCACCATCACACACACACTTGCAGAACAACAATGGCTGTGCCCGATTTTGAGGTTTGCGATTACTCAAATAAGGGTTTTAAATCGCTGGAGAGTTTGTGGCAGGGCTAAAAATACAAAACACAGCATTTACTGCTTCTGGGAATAGAATCAGAAAGTCTGCTGATTCCTTGAAGTCCTTTTTTTCCGCTTCACAAAACCATCGCCGGCCATCGCCCCCCCCTCCTCCCCCCCTCCAGCATCGAGCTCTGGTTTGAATCGCTCCGCCATGTGATTGACAGGTTGCTGTTTCGGCAACTCCAACCATCACGGGGTCCCCGTAAGAGGCTCGATCTCGCCCAATCGCTGAGTCCGGCGCCAAGCTCCGCCCTCCCCCCCTCCCCCCTCTCTGCCCCGACAGGAAACCAGGTCCAGATGGGAACCCCTGGAGGAAGGTGAGTGTTTCAGCGCGCTAACCAGAAGCAGGCCTCGCCCGGCTTGCTCCGTGCCTCCACAATGAGCCTTCTTTGGGGCCCCGGGGGGCAGAGAGGGGGGGGGGGGGGGGGGGGTACTTGTGGGAGTTGCCTACAGGTCAACCAAAGACACCCGAACAGGAGTCATCTTACATGGTCTCATCATTACCATAGCAACTAGAAGAGAGAAGATGAAAAGAAGATGTGGCCTCCTGAGGAAGAGCTTCATCCAAGAGACGTGGAATCACATCCGATTCGCCTTCAGGATCAACGACACGCAGAGCTGCAAGAAAACCGTAAATCTGGAAGACAGGAAGTCAAAACTTTGACTCCAGACGGCGAGCAGCGACCTTCTAGCAGTGTGTAAACAACAACAACACACACACACACACACGCACACGCACAACCCTTCAGACGTCAAACAAATGTGTTCACATTCAGCAGCGCCTCCATCCTTTAGCTCCTCCATCAGAACTTCTCCACCTTTAATCTCCCCCAAGCCACAGACTACACATGCGTGTGTGTGTGTGTGTGTGTGTGCGCTGCAGACCTGCAGGAAGAAGATACGAGTTTGTACCCGAGGGTTTTAGTTTTGAAAACATAATACGGAAATTAACGAGGCTTTATTTTATTTTTTGCCTCGTCAGCTGCAACAGATTACGGCGTAATTCACCAGGTGAGAGTCGCTGTGCAGCCGCAGACCTCGAGGCCGCATTGACCCTCACACACACACACACACACACACACGCCAAGAGACACACACGCACACGCACGCACACACGCCAAGAGACACGCACACACACACACGCCAAAAGACACGCACACACACACACGCCAAAAGACACGCACACACACACACGCCAAAAGACACACACACACGCACACGCCAAGAGACACACACGCACGCGCACGGCCAAGGACAGTGCGTTACATCCAGTGCTAATTGACGCTGGAGCCTCCGGCAGGGAGAGAAAACATCCTGAGGTAAATAGAGGTAAATAAAATAAAAACAGGAGTTTATCTGATGGATACGAAGACAAACAAATGAGTTTCATTTCTTGCTGCAGGCGATCAGAGCAGCAGAGACTTGTGTAAAACATGAAGTGGGAGAGACTTGAAGCAGCACATCTGATTCCAGTTTCAGTCTCACACGGAGGAGGGGGTTGATTTCAAAATAAGGGTCTGGCTCAGAAAGAGGCCGATGGCCCAACGTGTGACTCGATTCATGAGAAATGTTTTTTAAGTTTATACAGGAATGTTTGCCAGAGATGCAGATCAAGTTTCTGGGTATTGAGACGCCTTGATTCACCCCCCCCTCCTCCTCTCACCCCCCACCGGGGTTTTTAGGCATCAGGGGGCAGTGTTGCACTGCAGCGACTACGCTGTTGCTCCCAGCGAGGACGTGTTGTGTCTCTTTGCGGTTGTTATGTCTTTTTGTGGTGTTTTTTGGTCTTCTTGTGGATGTCTTGGGTTTGTTTGTAGTATTTTTGTGTCTCTTGTGACTCTGAACTATTTACTCTGCAGTTCTTTTGCTTATAATATTGTGTGTGTTGGTGCTCATT